TTAGAATTGAAATCTAATTACACCAATTTTTGTAATTTCAGGGCCTCAATTTCGGTGCGCTAGTGTCATATTATTGAAGTTGCCTAAACATGGTGGACTATACCCTAACACCCTCTGTAAGAGGAGGCCTTTCACCAGCAGTGGGACATATATACTTTATTTTACGTGAAAGATTGTTTCTAATTGTGAGGCGACTCCACTCACGCCGCTGTGCTGAAAGCACGCGGTTCGCGCCTGACCGCGTAACATTTGCCAAAGGTTAAGTTTAACCCGCGCTTACATATAAGCACAATGTTTTACCGGCTACATACCTTAAAACTAACTTACAAGTTTCAGTAGTTATTGAGATAAACTTCTGGTGGGCTACGACTTTACGAGAGAATCATTTCATAAGTAAAGTACAGTAGGACGGACACTATTTGTTATTTGATTTCGTAAAGTGTTGCCAATACAGCGTGTCGTTACCAACGCGACAATAAATGAACACACATATACAGGATAAGTTTTTAAAATTGTATCAAAAATTTACATCCTTCAAACATCAATATTTACAGAGTTATTAAATTTTCCAAAATAAAGAATTTTAGAACACCCTTACGTATCGAACTGTAATGTAAAGTTCATTTGTAAAGTTCACAAAGCATATGAATGGGTTGAATGAATTTAAAGGAGACAAAACATACTATTAGAAGGAGAGGCTTGTAATGCGGCGCTGTGGCAACGAATGAAAAAGTCTCTGAATGTATGAATCAGTCAGTTGTAGTTGTATAGGATGTTACAAATTTTGTTTCTTTTTTACTTAATTAGTTTTTTTGAAATATTTTTTCAAACAAACTAATGAAAAATATTTTTAACGTTAATATTTTCTTTTATGATTATTGGCAAGTAGCGTTAGACGTGTGTTCATTTAATGTTGCGATGCTAACGACACGTTGTATATGAAGGATTATGCGTTTTGTGTTTGTCTTTTTACATGACCACAAGCTTCATATGGACAAACTGACTGGGAACAATTATTTGTGGGATACAAATCTTCGCCCGTGTCGGAATTGAACCCACGACCTTCTACGCTGATAGCTTAATGCAACTTAATCACAGTATCGGTTATAATTACCGTAGAAGTGATTTGCTTGCTTTATTAACCGGGAGAATTCTTAATAGCATAAAAGTCAATCGGTTTGTTAGTTACAGAAAATAAAAAAAATTATAATTGAGTTGTATGGCATGTCTAAGTCCATTGTGTCTGGAACCTCTGACTTTCTATGTGTATGTCGCCGTTTCGAACCCCAGTTGTACCATTGGGATCTCCTATTTTCTACAGTAGTTCTATAATTAATGTTAAGTTTACGGTGACAATACTCACATCGCCACAATTGGGATTGAAAAAACGAAATTAAATAATATTTAACATTTCTTACTCCTTATGGTCAAAAGGTAAAGATTTCGACTTTGTACCTTTACAGATTAATTAATTTTAATATTAAGAACAAAACCACTGAGCCTGTAACTAGATGGCGCCATAGTCTTAACTTAATAATATGGCATCAGTGTTACATGCTGTTTCCACTACCTGTTTCGCATTTCCGCCGCGTCCAATAAAATGCCACTAATGGGTAGTCAGATGCGATACCTTACTAGGAGCAAGTCAAAAATGTAAATAGATTTTTTTTTGTATAACATTGCAACGCCAAGCATTATATTCTTAATAAATAATCACCGATTAGACGGTAAACATACCATGTTTACAATTTATAACTGTAAACACGATTAGTTATAAATATTCAATTAATTGCGTGCATTACCCCAGCCCATAAATATCGGTAAAGCCGGCATCTATTAGCGGGAGGTGGATACTGGAAATGTCAACATAACGACTCTAGCCCCAATGTCTCAGTGGCTAGAATAACAAATGCGGCCCGCGTTCGATTTGTCAAGTTTGTTGTTTTATAGAGGTCCTCACCCAAAGGATAAAACGGGACCGTATTACTAGGACTCCGCTGACTGTCTGTCTGTCTGTCCGTCACCAGGCTGTATCTCATGAACCGTGATAGTTAGACAGTCGAAATTATCACAGATGATATATTTCTGTTCGCAGATGATGTATGATGTATTCTGGTCTAACTATCATGGTTCATGAAGTAATGAAATCATGAAACGTGATAGTTAGACCGTTGAAATTTTCAAACATGGTGTATTTCTGTTGCTGCTATTACAACAAATACTAAAAACCAGACTAAAAACATTTAAGTGTGACTCCCATATAACAAACATGATATTTTTGCTGATTTTATAAATAATGTTACGGAACCCTTAGTATGCGAGTCCGACTCACACTTGGCCGTTTTTATTTTCTTACAAACGACATTTATTGGTACATTACCAATGCATTTGCCCATTGCAAAATAAAACTGTTTCAAGTATTTTAACACTTTTAATTTTGTTTTTATCTCCGAGGATTTTTGGTATCCTAAAATAAATAAAATTACCAAGCACACCAATATTGCAAGACCTCAAGATGCTCTCAGCTTATCGAGTGATTTCGGCAAAAATAAATTATCAAAAATATTGACTGCCTAATGCCCGGCTCCTGTATTCAACGAACGGCCGTTAGTTACATAGCTTCGTAACTTTCATAACGACTTTTAGATTAAAGGCGTTTACTCCCGGTTCCAATACAAGAAATACTTTACCCGTATGGAACGATAGCGTTAAAAATATTGGAACGAAACAAAAGACTACGAGAAACGTTAATCTAAAGCAGAAGCATAACAATTCTACGTCACGTTAGTCTTCCGTGAGGTGGTGGCACTTTTCGGACGGACCTGCCCATTCCTGCAACAGCCAAAGCTGTTGCGTAGCCCTACCACAGTTGAAATTTTTGTATTAGTGGTTAAACGGCAAGTGAACCCAAATTCATTTTTTACATAAATGAAATATGTAATTTGTTTTATCCGCGTTAATTTCAGCATCCTTTGATACACTTCAGGCAGTACTTGTCTTACTGCATAGGGTTTTAAGTAGCCTAGGAAGCCTTTAATAGGTAGGCTGTCGTAGTCTTAAGCTTTCAATAGTTAAGGTTTCCTGTTATTAATTATAGAACTGTTATGGTAAATACTCAAAAAGGTGTCTATCTATTCGATGGTACTGTACGAATATTTTTCTATTACAATTTTAATAAAATGACAGCGGGATGAAATAGTCTTTACAAATAACAACACTGAAATTGCATAACAAATTTCTCTTTTTATTCGGTCGAAATCACAGAAAACAATGTATAAACATCAGCAACAGAAAATCTACAAGCAGATCTCAATATAACCAACTCGACAACAAATTGGTTTGACTTAAGAAATATGTATACAATAAATATTTATTATTTGCGTGTTCTTAGTTCCTTCAAAATTATTTCCGTGTTCTTACTTTGTTGTTCCTTCAATCACTCGACTAAAACATGATGAAACTCCATTTAATTAGTGTTTAAGGCATTGAATTATTACTATAACTATATCCCAAGCTGTGTTTGTGTCTTTTATTAAAGAAATAAAGTTATTCCTTTAATAAAAGCCACAAATTAATCTTAATTTACATTTTCATTGTATATTCGTGTTAAAAAGTATATTTTAAATATTTGAAGTCTCAACTCGATAGAATGATGTTTGTTTGTTATATACATCGAAAAATCAACAAATATTGTTTTATCTTCATAGTAGTAACGTTAATTGACAAAATGGTGACGGATATTGAATGTCAGTTTGCAAAATTTAACACGAAGATAAATAACACGCTTCTTGTTATTCTTCAGCCAATTGAAGTTCAGATAAAACTAAAAGAGAAAACAATATAATAAACAAATAAATTAGTAAATCTTATCAGTATAGCGATAACTTAAAATACAAAAACTCAAATAATAAAACTGACGCGGTAAAGTAATATCTAGCTAAACAATTAAGTACAGGTTCGGTTTAAACGACTATATTTAAAACATCGGAAAATGTTTGCAGATGAATAAAAGTTAATTTGTTAGAAACTAAAATACTTCATTCGTAGAATTAAAGCTTTAAAATACATTGAACTGAATATTTCAATCAATATCTGATAATTGCATTGTAGAACCTTTGTTTCGTTTTTACCCATTATTTAAGAGATGATAAAATATGTTTTTAAAGACCCGATAAAGTCATAGACATGCGTGGTGTGTATTAAGTCTATTTTTGTTTATTACAATACTTAAATGCAACTTTTGCTTTCACTAATGGGAGGCAACCTAAGCTAAGTTTGGCACAGATGATAAATTAAAAATATTTGCGTATAATCTGAATAAAATATAATACATCTATGAGAGCGACGTCCATATAAATTACTTTATTATTAAATAAGTATCCTAACGTTAATGTTAACTTTAAAGGTTACTTAAGTATAGGAACATAGAGGTTTTCGGCGGGTAACTTTCTTGATCCAAGCTGAGCGTACGGTCAATTTACTGTAAAAGAAATTTTTCATATTATTAAAAAAATCCATTCGTCAAAATGTAGAAGAGAGACATCTAGTAGCGAGTGGAAATATCAATATAAGAGTTTTGCCGAATTATAACTCTACATAAAATCATCAATCTAAAAGTAATTAAAATTATAACAAGCAAGTAAAGGCTTTGGTCTTTTAATACGAGTTAGCCTAACAGTATGATTTGGATGATGATTGCGTCCGAAGACTATGGAAAGAATTACATGCTCTTATGAGACCTATAAGAGTATATAAATCCCATAGGGTCCTTCGTTTTTCTAATACAAGGACTATATTATATATATTACATTCAAGGACTCGCGACGAAGACGCGAAGTAGAAAAAATTCAAGATTATATTGGTCGCTTTGCAACCACCTTTTCCCAGGTCACTTTTAGGCTGACGGTGTGCGCGCGCGTCGTAAAATTTTTCGTGTCACATTTTTTTCCAATGGCGCCAAAAGAAGTTTCACTTCAAGAACAAAGCGATGGAGCCGTTACCTGCTTGCGCTTCACCGGGTATACGAAGGTTGCCGCGGAGTCCTTTCCGTACGCGTTCTGAGCCGTGCAGGTCCACTGCCCCATATCAGACCACCGCAACCCAGATATCATCAGATCGCCAGAGGGCAGCACCTGGTTTAGAGAAGATTAGCTGTACCGAAGCTTGGTGATGATCCAGCGGAGACATCGGAAGCGTGTGCAAGTTACATAATTTTAATTGAAAAAAAAAAACCGACTTGAAACTTCAAACAGGAAACTAAAACATTGTCAACAGCTGTAACTTTTACTGTAACTTTGTAACAGCTGTAACTTTTAGAATTGCCCTCGATTTCTCTGGGATCCCATCACCAGATCCGGGTTTCCTTATCATGGTACTACCCTTGGGATATCTCAACATCGGTTCATAAACGTCAAAAAAATACGGTCGAATTGAGAAACGTCCTTCTTTTTGAAGTCGGTTAAAAATTAATGACTCTCTGTCTCCTCTTCTGTCATGGGATGCAAATGTAACTTAGGCTTACTTAAACAATAGGAATATAAATATTAGAAGTTGCAAATTATGTCACCCACAAAAGGGATATTTAAGTTACAGAGAATTTGTTAGACAAATATTCTAAAATCAACGTATGTTCCTTAATCATAAAATGAGAAATAATCAAAAAGGCAGAGAAATTTTGGTATGATGGGACATCTTACCCGTATCCTGGGATTGCTATAGACGAGATCTCCTTGGTTGTCATGCCAGAAGACCTGGTGATCAGTGAGGCTTTGCACGCGGCAAGGCATGATCAGAGTTGTGCCCATCTCTTGCAGTATTTCCGTGTAGAAGCTTGTGATCACCGGCTTTGAAGGGACGCTGAACAGTTTCTCCAGAGTCATCATCTTTGGAGGTTCATCGCCTGATAAATGAGAGAACAATTTATCTTTGATATTATAACTTATTTACGTTAGATTTGTTTTTGAGATGTTGATTTTCTTTAAGGATTACTCTTTAAGGAATATCATGATTAAATAATGATTAAATAATGAAGTCCCGTACAATTAGCAATTATTATACTGTATTGTTGTACAATGACAGTCAATCTGCAGACATAAGTAATTTAATGTTGTATGGCTGTTATCAGTACTAACAGTATCACCATTTTTTCGAATTCTTCATTATTCACTTAATTATTTTTAGGTTTATTAATGTGTTTAATTTTGTTACTAAAGATTTACTATATTTTAATTAATTATTTTTTAGCTTTTGTAACTTTTAATTGTACAAATCTTTAGAATTAGTTAATGAATTAAAAAGACTTTCCAACACAAATCAAAAAAATTCCCTTTACTACTATTATTTAATACATAATACACAAAAATAAAAGACAATACGAAATGCTATCTATTAAAAATATATTTGTTTCAAAATTGAAAGAGGCAAGCGCCTGCCAAAAAATTGAGTCTGATTCTTACAAATCTGGGAAAACTTAGTGTGATGCTTTCATTTAACAGGTTTACGCCCGGTCTGAAATACTGATCATCGTAGATGTCAACTAATCAGCTAACGGCTTTTCAAATATCATTTGAGTTGCGAAAAGAATGGTTAAACTCTTTGAATTAATCATTCTGATCATTAAGAGAGTCATTATTTGACAGATTTAGCTTTTTAGTCTGATAAAAGGTATGTTAATACCAAAATTATTTTATCAAACTAAACTTAGTAGATGCAGTATCTCATGAGGAACCTTTAATGCGTTGACGTTTATGATTTTGAAAGTGAAAGTCCCAATACGGCTTTACACTGGTCTTCCGTGCAGCCGTGATCAGTCACAGATAATTAGCCACAGCGTTTCGGACGCGCAACTTGTACAGGAATACGGTGAACCTTTAGCTACCTTCTAAGTAGACGGTGGTGGAAGCAGAGTCCTCCTTCATGCCAGCGGTGGCAACGCAGGTGAACAAGTCTCCGTCCCTGACAGCGGACACGAGCAGCTTGCTGGTGAGACTTGCAATGTTCGACGGATGGTGTGTGGGGATCTCGTTCGCCTCATCTTCGTACTGAAATATGTGAGAAATGGAAGAGAATTTGTATTTGATATGTCAATCAACAGTCAGAAAGATCGTGAAGTGTAACAGAATTATCACTAGTAGTCGAGTGAAAAAGGTGAAAGGTATAGCTACTAGGTACAAATGGTTAGAGACTGGAAAAAAATTAATTTAAAATAAATAAATAAAAAAAAACAAAATTGTCTCTAAGGCATACTTGTATGATCAGAATGAGACCTGGTCATTCAGTTTAGGGGACCCATCATCCATCCATTCATACAAACTTTCGCCTTTATAATATTAGTAATGAAGTAAGGATTATATTTGATAACTAGCTGCTGCCTGCGACTACGTCTGTGTAGAATAGGCTGAAGGCGTAAAATTCAGGCAGAAAGACAGATATACATAAAATATGTATATAAATTATAGCATATGTGTTATTCTGATGTATAACGTATATTATTGTAAAGTTTCATTAGAATCCATTCAGTAGTATTTGCGTGTAAGAGTAAAACATCCATCCATACATACAAACTTTCGCGTTTATAATATTAGTAAGGATCTATTACGATGTTGAAAAATATAAGTATATTATATATACTGAAGTACTTCTTCCCTTCAGGGTAGGACGGTTCAAATTTCAGCTAATAATTACGAGGACTCACGTCAACGATTGGCTCGCCATTTCTCAGCCAGTGGATGACGGGGGCGGGGGAGCCCATGGCTACGCAGTCCAGTTGCAGTCGAGTCCCCGGCGTGTGGCTAACGCTCGACGGCGGCGGCATGTTGATGCGGACGTACTTCTGCAGACGCCTTCGCTGGGTCGGGACCACTGCGCAGAACGATGATAAGAGATTAATGTCAACAGGTAGGGGCCACGCAAGAGTTCGCTCTTGCCCGAATGGGTAGATGCGTCCGGGAAAGTACCACAATCCTAAGGAAGTGGAAGTGTTATAATTCTGCGTTTCGTATGGTGAGTGAAGTAGCCGGGGCCCACATTATGAAAAGGTGGCAACGCATCCGCAGCCCTTGGGATGTTGCAAATGTCCGTGTTTTTGATTATCCCTCAACATCAGTTGTGAACCGCCAGCTCGCTTGCCACCTTCTCACAAAAAGGTGGATTTAAAGACCTGAAGGTGGTGCAGAATTCTGAATGCGTGACAAACTCTGCAGTTCTTCAGTTCTTCTATTCGGTTCTTACTAGACTTAAATAAAAAAATCACAGATAGGCAATTGTTTTTAATTTTCATATCAGTAACATTTATAATAAATATCGATTTTGATTTTTTTTTTCATGTCAATACTATGCTGCCTGACATTCATACCCGTTTACGGTGCCAGTCTTTGCGTCTATCCCGCTTTGGAAGTTAACAAGCTCGGTATAATGAGAGTAGCATTATCCCTTTTACTCTCTCAGAATCTAAATACTTTAACGCTTTTTACACATGACAGTAATCAGTAGGCAGAGGCTTTTAAAAATTAAAGTCAATCATTCCATATAGTCCTATGTATTTTATGGTTGTGGAACCTTAGTGTCTGGGCGTTAGGTTTCAAATCAACAAACTTGGGCCAGCGCCAATGAATTTAAATTGCAGTTTTAAGTAACGATTCGCGTGATCTAAGGTGAAGGAAAAATCGTGAGGAAACCTGTATATTTTCAAATATCCTCTGTATAGGCATTAGGTGGTCTTTGCCTAGCTTGTATAGGAACTGAACCTGCTACAGCCAGCGTTTAATCTTGAAGTCTTGAAGAATCTCTAAAGTCTGGATTCTAACTTCATAGGTCCTGGCGATTGAAATAGGTGATCTTTTCGCATCATGGCAGCGACACATTTCACTTTACAATCGGGCTTTTGAGTCGATCGCTTTGCAAGTCAATGGTCGACAGCACAGATGGCCAATTTATTCGACTCTTTGACCGCGTGAGTGTATTCTTAATGAAAAACCCGAATGTGGATCATACCTGGGGCTTAGTCGGGCTATTCGGGCGAATTTTTTCCTTATTTCCTGTGGCGTAATGTACGTGTTCTATGAAGTGTATGAAATATGTTGGTGGTTGTGTGCTAATAACAACTATGTGGGCTGGTGTGGTAGTGGTTATTCGTGAAAAAATCACATAAAAACCGCCTACCCGTAAGTATAGTACTCTACATTCATTAACACGACAGACACAAAAAAATACTTTGTTCATCACATAAAATTGCTGCATAATTGAGATCGAACCAACACCTTGGCTCAAAATAAAAGTTGAATATTTTTATTTAATGAATATTTAAGGACATACTTAAACACAATGTTATTTGGTCTCAAACTAGCAAAGCTTCTGCTATGGATATTAGGTAAAAACAAACAAACATATTTTTTCTTTTTATAAGTAAATACTTATTATAGATATATGAACTCGAGGCACTAGAAAAACGCTATGTTCATCCAGTAGTGGGGATCGAATCCACACGCTTTGGTGCAAGAGGCGGGTCCATTTTCATAACGCCAATCGGGTCGTCACATAAAGAATGCTGTCTATCGAATCGATCGCGTCGTCAAAATAAATATGAACTTTCTAGAAGTTTGCCGTCTAAAGAGGCAATTTTATGGTTTTAAAAATATTCAAAGTAACAAGAGAAAAAAATCGGCGACCGCGTTAAATTTCATGATTTCCTCCTATCTTATGATTTATGCAGCGATTGGTCGGCCGTCTGGGCGCGTTCAAGCGACTTACGGACTTAAGGGCAAAAGTATAGGGGTCGATTTCGCTCGTCTTTTTTGAACAGCTGATTTTACGTTATACGGACCACTCCCGCGCCAAATCTTTTGCGTGAAATTTGTCTCCGCGAAAATCCAATACAATGTGGTCATGTTTGATTTTATTTATGAATGTGCGGACAGTAGACGGCGTGTACGGACCGACTCTAATACGTTATGAAGACAGATAAAAAGATTTCTTCAGTCTGCAAACGGAACATACTTTGTGATTGTTTTGTTTTTGTTCTCTTTTGATGCTGTGTTTTTTTTTTATTATTATTATTTTTTAAACATTGCCCTCACTTTAAGAGAACTTTATCCCGTGTTGTAAGGACGTTTTACAAACATAAATTGCACGAGGACAAACACCCAGATGCAAAACAACTATCTGTGGGTCGCACAAATAGTTGCCCGCGTGGGAATCGAACCCACGACCCCCGACGCCGAAGCCAAACATCGGCAACTGCGCCACGGAATCAACAGTTTGTGTTGCTTTATGGGATAAGGAAGGTTCAGTTCTATCGGACTTTGGAACGCTTTTGGAACAGTGCTTTTGGAACGGATGCACAACTAGTTCAAACCTTTGATTTGTCTGAACCGTTAATAAGCTATAGTACCCGGAGGACCGAGCTTTGCTCGGTTTGTTTTTTTTTTTTTTGGTAAAACGTGTATTTTGGAAATTACATTTAGATACAAAGTACTGAGTAATGAAATATGCATAACATTTTTCGATCTTACCGACGTAATAATAAGAAAATATGAACTGATGTTTTTCACAAAAGAAATAACTTTAAAAAAACAAGGGAAAAAAATAACAAATAGACAAAAAATTTAAAATAAAGAAAGCAATGATCTGGAATCTAAAAAAAAGTAAAAAAATAAATGTGTAAATGATTGTGACGCGAACCACGGCCGTCTGTTTTGGAGCCGCCCGATTACCGACCGAGCTATTTTGACATTTTCTCTTGCGGCGAAATTTACCGTCATATTCGAATTATATTTTTCATTCCCTGAAAACAGGGATAAAAGGACATTTTCTAAAAATGAAACCTAGCTAGATCGATTTTTCGCCCCGAATCTATGCACATACTAAATTTCATGAAAATCGCTGGAGCCGTTTCCGAGATTCCGAGTATATATATATATATATATATATATATATATATATATATATACAAGAATTGCTCGTTTAAAGGATAAGATTTGGAATGACAGAGTTATTACAGCAAATTTGAATATTATCCATCATGGCATAATTATTGCAGATAAAGGTTATGTACTGTGAACTTCGATATGAAATTATGATGAATATGTCATGATTGATAAAGACATCTTTCTTTTTCTTTACAAAAACGTATCGAATAAAACTTTAAAGTTCGCTGACGTGCAACTATCAGTTTTTCGATTTGATAATTTCAATCTTATAAAGTAAGCACTTTACTTTATTACATTTAATTAAAAAAAAAAAAATATCAATTGAATTGAGAACCTCCTCCTTTTTGAAGTCGATTAAAAAGGAAAGCAGCTCCATTTTCCTAATTATATTTCCATGAAGTAATAACATTATATGAGAGGCTATTTATGCAATTTATCTATTTGCAAATTTTCATTTCGAGAGCAATATAATTTTTCCTTTGGGGATTATGATCAAGACTTAGAATTTATGGTATATTTTGGGAAGCTTTTAATTTGTGAGTGAGTGAGTTCAATTCGAGTTGAATTAAGATTTTCTAATACAAAATGTAAATGTTACATTATAGTACTTACGATTTGGTTGTATGTTGTTGTCCAGGTCGATTTTAGAGGTTTCGATTTGGGCGCTGACTGGGTGAGAGCACTGCAGCGCTACTAGCGCCATGGCGGCAAATAGCGTAACTAAGTTAATCATTCTCGCTATTCGACGAGAGAGGTCGCGCTCAATTAGTTCTAAAACAAATACAAGGTGACTTAATTAATTTCACAAGACGAACACAAACAAAATACTGTTCATAGATTGAAAAAAACATGTTTACGCGTAAAGTTTAAACATTTAATTGCGTTAAAATTAGTAGAAAAAGTACGAAAAGATTGTCGCCGATGTGGAAATCGAACCAACATCTTCGCGTCCTGTCACTAAGCTAAAAGGCTGATTGCTACACCGACGTGTGGTAATCAGCGTTTAATATTTAATCTTAAGTGCTGAGATTAGACTATAAAGAAAAATGTAATTGCATATTTTCACGTAAAACATTTCGGTACAAGTTTTCGCACGTTCTCTTAGCACCAAAAAGTCAGTCACCATTTCATAGTATCATATTCCGTCAGTTATTGATGATTTGCTATGTTGATGTTCAAATTCGATACAGCAAACCATATGAACTCATTTGTTTAAGCTACTCAATAAAGCGTAATGCATAAATTAAATGAACGTCAATATGAAGTCTTCAACAAACGTCAATACTTTATGATTGCATTTAAATGTAAAATCGGTTTATTAAATTACTTGAATTTAGATGCTTTGTTTAAAAATTCCCGACTAAATTAACATTTATGATCAAGTTATCATGCCATATCTGTCGTTTGCGAATTATTCATCACTATGGTCACCGATTAACACTGAATGAAAAATTTTAATGCAAAAAAAATCAGTTGATTTCATTAGCTTTGTATTAAGGAGTTTCCTCGAAGATTCCCATTCATGTCAGTATCATAAAAAGAAATTAATAAATGAAAATAAATTGAAATTATGAGCTATCATAAATAATGATAGCTATCATAGCTTACTTTGCAATGGTCTAGTGACGGCGATGAAGAATCTTTGAGAGAAAAATATTATCACGCCTTCCAGCTATGACAAGAATGACACAATTACATGCAATTCAAAGTAATATTTGTATCGAGCAAAGTTAAAGATTGATCATTTAGAATCGATTACTAATTTTATCTGGTTACGCGAACTTTATACGTCTAGTCCGGGTATTGTAGGCTTATTCCTTTCACGGAACTTAAGAGAAATGTGTGTTATCTTGAAGTTCTCTGTCAATCAGGTCGTTAGTATTTCATCGCGTTTGCTTTAAATTTTAGTTCGAAACGCACTCTCACTGTTTCCAGAATCGAGCGGAACCCATAACTATAACCAGCTAGTTCCGTTCGATCAACAGTGGTCTCGGGAAAGAGAAATGAAAAAAAAAAATGAAAAGTTATTTTTTTAACAAATATTTCCCGCCGTTTATAAAGTAAACTATACAGATATATTAAAATAAAATGACATAGATTCGACCGCTCAAAAAAAATATAATAACTGATTTAATAATTTCCTAACGCTTACGATGTGTGTATCTGATATATATATTGAATATAAAATATTTGTAGCAAAAAAATGGATTATTTTTAGAATCTCGTATAAAACGAATCAAATTTTCCGCTGTGAAAAACAAAACGATAACTCAATTGAACGTAACTATTAATGTAAAGTAACAAATACGTCTAGAGAATATGCGAAACGAGGTAATTCTGGGGATTATTATTATTATTAAATTATACAAAACAATATCGAATATTTTTTCATTTTCTATCGAGTATTCTGTACTCAATATATATTTGTCAAACTGTTCACGAAGAAACTATAAGTAATTTACGTAGACGAAATAATAAACTGCTTACAATTGTATTTATTTATATAACATGGTTTAAGTAAAGATGATGATGAGTTATAATATGATAAAAGTATAGATAATTTAAAAGAATCTAACTACTTTATATGGTATTACTATTAGGTATATGTTATTTGCTTCAAAAAATAATCAGTAATTTTCAAATCCCGTATGCATAGCATTTTTTATTGCATTTCAAATGTGTGAGTTTATAATACTATAACAGTTTCAAAGATTTTAATGAAAAGACGATTTGTATAATTAACTCGTCTGCAAATTTGTTGAAATATTAATTGCGAACACGAAAATTAATCCTTTTTAATGAATCTTCTACAATATCTAACTGTTATTTAATTCAGAAATTGTCATGGTAAAATTTCACCAATTCCATTAGGTGTCCAAGTACTTTCTATTTTGTGATTAAACTTACCAATTTTAATATTATACAAACATTACAAAATTAGCCACTTCCATGGACAGAAAACGCAATAGACTAAACGTTATAAATATAATTAACAAAATCCTAATCAACGCTCAGTCGGTAATCGATAAAAGAGGAAAAATAGACACACAAACGAAATCAATAAAAGAGGAAAGTAGACACACAAACGAAAAAATCCACTGATATCGTAAAAATCGTAAAATTTAACACATGAAACACTGAGCGACAATTATATAATTACGACTAACGCGTACTTACAAAGTAAGGTGGTGGCCGAACTGTGATGGGGGATCTAGCTGTTGTCTGCGTTATCGCCTCATCTGGAATACGCATTTCGTGTCCCGAGCAACCCTTTTATAGCGGACGGGTCGGCCCATACGGGGTGCGTGATACGTGTGAGATGTCGACTAGACGAATTAGCGAGGCTCTTTAATCGATCCGAGTGGTTTTTTTTTCTCGTCTATTTTAAGGAATTTCTTTGGTTACTGACGATTGGATTTAGCTTAGATAGTTTGGGATTTCTTTCGGTGAACGTTCAAGCGACGATAGTACACTTTTGTATCGTTGAATGTAGCCTTTTGTTTTTGTAGTTTAATGTCTCTTTTATCGGACGATTAAAGGTTCTATTTTCAATTATTTTTTTGGCTTCCTTTTCAAGCCACAAAGTTTGTTAGATTGGTACTCTTTTGTTCATATTTTATTCTGTTTTTTTAAATCAGTGTGAGCACCTATGGGCTAATATATTTTTTTCTAATTTAATGGTGATTTTTGCTATCATTTTTTTGCTTGTGGTCGATTTGACTTTTTTTTCTGTTTGACTCATTTCTTATAGGCTTGTGTTTTAAGCAAGTTTTTAATTTCAGGTTTTTTTCTGGATTTTTTTCTCTTGCTCTATCTCGGTTGGTTCGAGCCGGTTCGTTGTTGCTCGGTTTTATAATGGTACTCGTTAGTATTTTTACTATTACAATAATAACTTACTAATTGTATTCAAATCTATATATATACAGATGTTATGTTTTTCTGTCTTTTTGAACAGGAACTTCCTTACTTGTAACAACGTGGTTTTCGAATAAAAAATACTCACTTTGGATTCCGTAAAAAATCGGCGGCAGTTGTCGTGATGAACACTCACTGTAAAGTCCGAAATCCACAAGAGAACGATTTATTACTTATACAATCAAACCCACTACCTCAAGACGAAAGTATACACCGCACCGCCACCACGAGCGACCGCGTCCACTACCAATTATAAAGAGATTTCATCATCTTTAAACCATTTACCACGGAATTCCGGCGTGTTGATGATTCAGTCGAACCAGCGGCGGCGTGCCGTGCCGGAATTTGCACTTTAGCGCGATTCGATAGGGCTCAGATTGGCGCGCCGCCCTGAACAGGTTCGGCCCGTGACGTGGAGTCCCGAGAAATCATTTTGACAAGTGTCTTCTTGTTATAAATCAATCGCGCAGAGTTAGCGATGCCGTCGTGTGGCGCACGCGGAATTCTATAGTTAACAGTATAAGGTCGCTTTTTGAATGAGATCGCCTTTCCCGCTGCGTCGAACGCTTTGCTCGGCCGTCACGTGTTGCTTATCTATTACAAAAATCTGATTACCGCCACGTACGCTCGAACGGTGTGTGTTACGGCCCTTATGGTGGTGACACACTTGTGGTGAACTGCAAATGACGCTTTCGTTTAGGATGTGGCGATAGCAAGCGGTGATGACGTAGGCAGCACGTCGGATAGCGCAAGCGGTGACGTAGCCGACACGCCGTGGACCGCTGCCAAAGCATGCGTGCTTCTAGTGAGAACATTCTAACTTTAGCTTACTCACTAAACAACTATTGAACCCAACTGCTATTAATAAAGAGCAACAAATCGCTGGAGTACTGTGCGCGACAACTGATTACAAAATCTGGCTGCGCGTGGCTGACTTTGTGGAAATGGCACTGAAGAATATAACCCAAGTAAGTTAGTAAAAAAATCAGGCTCGTGCTGTTTTAGAGGTTGTAGAAGGGCGGACAATGTACACGATTATCTGGGAATCAATCTAGTTAAAATTTAAAAGTCTAGCTTTATAATGAATTGATGATTCTTTGGCTGATAGATAGATAAACACTTAACATATCAGCACATCAAAAGTGCCCAGTTGTTCCATAAAGACGTTAAGAAAACGTTAGAAAAATGTTACATTCGTTTTTTTTGCTTTAAAGTATACAAAGTGTCCTCCTTGGAATGATATGTTGGCATCAATTAAGTTATGTTGGGCTTTTCATTAAAAAAATATCATTAAGATACGAGAAACGTATGTTTTTACTTTTTTTAGTGCTAGTCCCGGATCTGGTGAAACGAATGACGATCTGACATTTCGGATTCCAAGTAAACTGTATACATAACGTAAATATACATATTTGTCACAAGCAATCGTACTCTCCAGTACTTGCAGGATAATGTCAGACCGAGCTTCAAGTGCTAGATTTCCTTTTATATACGAAGAACTAAAAATCCTTACATTACATTTATAAAGGCGAAAGTTGATATGTATGGATGGATGTCTGTTACTCTTTCGCGCAAATAATACTGAATGGATTTTAATGAAACTTTACAATAATATAGCATATACATCAGATTTTTTTTTATTCGAAAAGTTGTCAAACGAGAATACCGCCGCCCATGGACATCTTCCATACCCGAGGGTTACAGATTCGTTGACAACCTTTTGAAAATTGGGCTCCGGCTACCTCACTCACTAGACGAAACGCGAAAGTATTTGTCATACTTCCGCTTTACGCTGGTCTTCTGTGAGGTCGTGGTACT